CTTTCCAAACCCTTTTAACAAGCAGGTTTTCAGGTGAAACTTCAGTGTCTTTTTTCACAGGCAGCAGCAATACACTGGATTTAAGGGTGCCTGATAAATTTAGCTAAAAATGCAGTGATCCAGTTCTAGTTCACTAAATATCAGGAGACTGATGTGCCAGAAATAAATGAAGAGTAACTCCCATGATGTTGGAAAACTACATTAGGATTAAGAAATTAAAGAGGACTGAAAAATTCTTCTTATACTGATATTTTCTAAACTAATATTTTAAATAAATTCCTTTTTTCCCTCTCTCTTTTTTTTTTTTTTTTGTGTGTGTGTGTGTGTCCTTCTGTTTTTAAGGCACTAAGCTGCTTACAGAAGAAAAGCAAACAGTGATTATGGAAGATGAAGAAAAGGATGGAGACACAATCCCGAGTTAAGATCACAGTGATATTTCCAATAATGCAGTGTAAATAATTCTGGGTCATTCAAAGTGGCAGCACATAGGAAAAAAAAGTCCTTTCATTTTTATAAATAATAATTTTCTCAAGCATGCACTTGAATTTAAATTATCTTCAAGTGCCTATCTGCATCTCATGAAATCCCAGCAAACATCGGAGGACATGATGACAGAAATTTCACTTAAATGTAGGGTTGGAAAGAGTCTCTTGGTTTACTAAAAGCAGCTTCCCAGGATTTTTGTCAATGAGGAATCCACCTCAAATCAGATCTAGCTTTGTGTAGTGTGGTGATAAGGGTTAACACAAAGGACACCACCAATCCCATGTACCTGGCACTGGATACCAGAGTGGTTGGTAGCACAGGGCAGTAAAACCAATTAATGATTCAAATTGCATTTTTCTCCCGAAATTTCACCTCATTCATCCAGCTTTCCTCTGCTGGAATAGCACTGACCGCAGTGAAAATGGGATAGACGGAAAGGGTAGGAGGGCAGGAATCGAGTCTAGAGTCCCTGAAATGCAAAGCAAACATTTCTCCTGCCTGTATCTGCTCATGACTTGTATTTATGAGGAGAAAAAGGTAGATTTACTGTAGTATGAAAACTTACAGCTAAGGGCTGTCGGCACTGACACATCAAAGAGGACGAAGAGCAGAGCTCTCAGAAGAGAAACATACGGGAAGTGCAGCGCCTGCCTGTTACACCAGGGTAGAATATTGATTTTTTTTTTCTTTCAATTTGGGCTGGTGGCAGCTAAATTAGTTGGACAGTTGATCCTTTCACTCCATATTTTATCCTTTCACACTTCCTTTTTAAACTGAGCCCTAGGCTGTAAGTTGGGAGCTGCTGTAAAGATTAAAAATCACAATGGGAGATTCAAAACTGAGTAAAAGGAATAGCATCACTCAATGGCCTATGCGTACTGCAAGATGAAACAGCACCATGCTTTTTTTTTAATAGTTTAATTCATTGATTCAATCAAGAGTTGTTTGCACAGCCACCTACAGCCCTCAGCATTTGTACAGAGATGAGTACTTGTAGAATATTATACGAAACAGGTAGGACTGGGTAGTTTTCTGCTTACCTTAATAGCTCTGTGCTGGAGCAGCACTGCCGGCTGGACCTCAGGACAGAGGTTAAAGATTATCTAGCCTGGCAGACTGAATTCAGTTATCTTTTTAACACCCTTAGGCAAACAGCTGAGGAGCACACTAGTTTGGACTTCATTTGCCACAGTGACTGACCCAGCATCTTTCATGAGAACACAGTCCATTTGCAGATATTCAGCTTCAAGATGTAATCAACAAGCTTATAATAAACAATCATGTATTAAAGTGCGCAAAAGGCCAGCTGTATTATTAATGGGATGCCTGATAACTAGGAGGTGTACCTTTTTTTGTCCTGTTAATCTATCAGTGAGACGAGATAACATTTAAAATACGACCAATCAATAGTTCGTATAACAATATTCATGTAAGGTACACAGTAAAGTATGTCACAGCAAATTTGTGACAAGAAATACGTGCAATTCGAGCCTAGATTTACCAGTGATGTTGGTGAATATCTCTACTACACAATACAGCAAGAGTGAGAGCGTGGAGACCTGAAAAGACCCAAATGAACATCAGCAATGGATTAGCTGTGAAAATGTACATGTTTTGACATGAAGGCCCTTAACAACACAAGGCAGGAGCAGACTGAAGGCGCTCACGCAGATCGTGCAGATACATAGCTGGAAGCGCATCTCGCCTCTGAAGTCTGGACCGGGCAGAAAAACCAGTCCAAGACCTCAGCGGGAATGAAGTGCTTCAGTCAGTGAATGAAAGACGGACGGCAATCAAGAGGTGGTTAATGGTTAATATTTTTGGAGTGAATTCACAATTAACCTCTATCTAGAAACTAAGGGACAGCTCTCCATTTACAATAGAATTGGGACAAATGGATTTAATGTCCTTGCGTTTTAGCAACTTTCAACTGAGGATTGCAGAAAGCACATCACCCGTCTGAAGGGGATGTAATGAGCATTTTTATACTGCTAAACATGAGGTCCAGAGGTTAAGTGATTTGCCCAGCTAAACCGCAACAGAAACAAATCCAAAGCGACATTCATGATACTGTCACTAACTCACACTATATTCACAGATAAAGCAGCATTTGCATGCATTGAGTTCAGCAACACTTGCACTGAAATTTTGTCTGGTTGAAATTTTGTTACTGGTTAATAAATTGATAATTGTATAATGCTTTAACCACTTAAATGAATAGAGGTCTTTAGATATCATAACAGATTACCTTCCGGCATGTCCTATGCCTTTCCTACCTTTTGAGATTACATTTTGTACGCATGACCTTACATTATTCTTGTATGCATAGAGACTGCCCAGCAATTGCATCTACAAGCAAAAATAGAAAGTGCACATCAGTGAAGCACATTAGAAATTTTAACTTCCCACTTGTATTTAGATAAGCTCGTAAACACTTGTAATTTGTTCCTTACATCCCCCAAAAAGCCATGGGCCTCTTAGAGTGAGGTTGTGGAAACAGAAATACCAATATTCTGGAAATAGGGTTCTACAAATACAAAGAGTGAACATTTAAAGCCAGTTTCTACTTCATGATACTGGCTCCTGGTCCTGTTGGAGGAACCCACATCAGTCTGTTGGACCGAGGAGCTGTGAAGGGAAGCTTAATCCATCCTTATACAAGCATCCTGAAAAATCCTGAAAAGACACAGACTGGGCAGATGGACAAACAGCAACAAAATTCGAAAGCAAAGTCCAGAAATAAAAGAACAGCTTCTGATGGACTGTTTCTGCTTATTCTCACAGGTGCGATCATCCTGTAAAATGCAAGCTGTGTATGTATAACTGTGAGACACATTGTCATGAGCTTTGGATTTTTCCAAGATGTCAAGTCTTTTCCAACCTTCAAAGTAGGTTTAAGACCACCTGGGGGCCTGGGGGTCTTAGGGTCTGAGACAAAGCTATACTTATCCCAGGTTTATTTTTCTGTATTCTGTTTAGCCTGGAGAAGAGAAAGCTTAAAGGGATCTTACCAATGTATATAAATATCTGATGGGAGGGAACAAAGAAGAGGGAGCCAGGCTCTTCCCAGTGGCACCCACTAACAGGACAAGAGGCATTTGACACAAACTGAAATACATAAAACACCACTTATGAGTAAGAAAACATGTTTTTACTACTCAGCGCTGCTACAGATAGCCCAGAGATGTTGTGGAGTCTCCATTCTTGGAGACTTTCAAAAGCAAACTGGACACAGCCCTGAGTAACCTACTCCAGAGGACCCTATTTGGACTGGGCAACTCCAGAGATGTCATCCAGCCTCAGGGATTCTGTGACTACAGTCCAGGATCCATACCAAGGCAGCTTCTTGGTGATGCTTAGCAAGTCTGTGAGAGGTCAAGAGAAAAGAGTTTGGAGCAAAGGGAGGAGTACATGCAAAAGGATAGAGAGGGATCATCCTGAAGGACTTGTGCTGGCCAGATACCTGAGCAGCAGAAGTGAACAACAGACCTCATCAAGGAGAAAGGAGGTGGGACATGGCTGGTCCAGATCCAAATTTGCTTTATGAACCCAACTGTCTGCCTCATGGCCTAAACAATTAGAAAGGCCCATTTAAGCTGTTGAGCCACAACTCCTCTTCACTTCTCCATCTCTGCTCTGGCTGCTGCAATTGCAGCAATTGCAATTGCCCTTGAGGACGTTGGAGCCAATCTTCCTTTCCAATCCCCGTTTATGTAAACTTAGAAATATAAAGAATGAATATTCAAGGGTGTCTCTATGCCTCACTGACTGTGGATTTTAACATTCAGATTTTTAGTTCAGACTTTAATCCTTTTCTAAAAAAATAAACAAGTCCCTCTCAAAAAACAGAGCACCAAACTTTCTTGCCATAGCAAAGTGATACAGTGATTAGAGCAAAGACACAGTTCACAAAAGGACTAAACATCAAAAAAGACTACATTTGCAAGTGTTGACAGTTGCAATGAGTAATTGATAACAATTCTAAATGACCTTATAAGTCTGAGATCATAAGACATTCCAAGAGGGACACATTACTCAGACTTATTTCTATGCTGGCAGCTGGCAGTTTCTGATTGTCTCAAAAATCATCAATGCAAAAAAAGGTTGAGTGCATTGCAAAGCCAGACCTCTACCAAGTAATACAGATTTCATTTTTTAACTTCATACTTGCAAAATTTCCCTTTGGTGTACACTAGATGTCAGGGTTGGACTGAGAGGATGAGCCCATCCACTCCATCACACAGCTCCGTGTAGACATCTGGCTGGATGTCATCAGCACAACTAGTTTTGCTTAGGAATTATTTTTGTGAAGCATGCCATATTTACAAGGAGCAGTCTGCACAAACATCCTCTCTCCTCCACTTCGTAGTATTTCATCTAGGCCTAAAGCCCCAGGGTTTGGACGAGGGAAGAGACATCCTGAGATACTTTCTAATGCCAGTGAGTATCTGCCAGCATTCTTCACCTTCCCCAGCTCCAGGAAAAATAAAAAATAAACCCCCTTTAAACTATTTGGGTGAACAGACACTTTCTAGAGGGGACTGTAATAAGCAGCAACTCAGCACAACATGAACTTGGCTGGAGAAAAGTGAGAGCAAAGAGGAACCTGATCAGAACTCCATTAAATTTCCCGGAGACATAAACACTCCCCATGACACCTCAGGCAGGTTATTTGATTTCCCTGTGCCTTGACCGCACAGCAGTAAAGTCAAGATGGCAACTTATCTCTGCTTCACAACAAAGGAGAGAGTGGGGACCAGGTGAACAAAGACAAAAATCACCCCTTGTGAGATGCTAGTGACACAAAAACAATAACTCCAATAAACTGTTGGTAATAGTGAAAGGCAAAAAAAGAGGTTCCCCTTCTAACTTTTGCAAGTGACCCAGTGAGCCTGAACCAGTGCTGTCCACTTGTCCAGAGAACAGTCACGTAGGACTGTCTTAGGTAAACTGTTAACCAAAAGTGTCCTAAAGGGAAGGAAATGACACAGACAGAAAATGTGTTTGGAAGGATAGTATGATTTTGCATTTC